CGATACGATAATTTTTCACGAAGTTATTCTATCTCAAAGTTTACCTATTTTTGCAGGGTGGTACTAGAGACCTAGAAAACAGAGATACGTCATTGAAAGGTATGGCTTGATTGGCTGTCTAAATCACGTGATCAGAGAGCCATTTTAATTCACTATTGCATCTAATAGATATAGTTTTATAACGTATGTACATATATGTATATATAGAGAAAAATTTAGACAATACAGTGTCGAAATGCAATAAAAAACTATTATTATGGTGTAAGTATTCTTATTTGTGTGAATATTTAATATCGGACTTAACCTAACCTAATCTAATCTTTCTACTTTTTGCATCAACTGTCATCAGCTTATTGGTCAAGAGCACTTATATTGAATTAAAATGGCGGTGGTTACCTAACCCAACCGACGCAATGTCGCATCTCTGTTCTCTAGGCCTCTAGGTGGTACAAGTGATCCTTTAATTTTGTTGAGAAGTGTAATTTAAAAAGAGAAATAAAATGTATGGGACAGCATCTACTATTACTATATATTAAGGGAATAAAAACTAATTTTTTTAAGATTAAGAGTAATTTTGAATAATTTTAATTTTAATTTTAATCAAAGAATTAAAATTTTTTCTTTAATATAACGCGGGGGCCCCTATTTCCGTGGGGCCTGGGGCTATAGCCCCCCCTAACCCCACCCCCCTTAATCTAGGGCTGTGCAAGAGCCATACAGCTTTAATGTTTTAATTTACTGTAAAATGTGATATTACTGTTATAATTTTCTGTTTAGAATGTGATATTACTATTATAATCTACTGTTTAAAATGTGATATTCGATTGTAATCGCATTACTGTAAGAATACAAATGAGATTTAAGCGTTGTATAATGTTATGTGTTAAGTAGGTACTGTAAAATGTTATGAATGTGTGTCGGAAATTCCTTTGCATAGGACTCGTTTAATCACATTGTGATTGATCACAAACCGCATTTACAATTACAATGCTTGTCTAGTAGAAAAATTTTAAGCATCTGTCGCCAAGTGGCTGTGATCAGTCTCAACGTGATGAAATAGAATTGTAAGGTTTCGACAAGGTTAATCGAGGGGTAGAAATAGAAACGTAACCGGTTAAGGAAACGATGGAAAGATGTCAGGAATAGCTTCAAAGATCCAGGATGAAACACACGTTAGTTAAAAACACACTTTATTGCAGAGCGTCTAGGACGCGACTTCTTAACGTATTCTTGAACTTAGAATTACTGTCGACCAATCACAGGGTCTCTTCTCCATAGCACAGCGCCACGCTGTGGTAGGGAGTCTGGTAACGAGCGCATTGCCAACTTAAAAACTATGAGAAGCGAGTTGTCGCTTACAGCTCGGCCATTCTGCAATAGCGTTCGTCCCGAACGTAACTTATAATTTTGTGATAAAATTTGAAACAATATAACCACAGAATACATACAATGGACAAATAATAATTGATTAAATGTTAACAAAACAATGAGTAACTTCGTCTTATATGCTACTCTTAAATCTAGGCGGCAGTGTTATGTAAAGACTAAATATTTATTAACCGCTACTAGTTGCAAAACGAAAGAAAACTTATGCAAAATCTTAAATTTAAACTTAGATTTAATTTTAAAGATAATGAGACTTCACAAAGGAACTACTGGTTTTATCCAGTGTCTAAGTCTATCCGGCGACAAAATAGAATTGTAGGGCCTCGATGTAATGTTAAACCCTGGAATATCCTTGACAACATATCGATTATGTGGCAGTACTTTGTCTATCATGTAAGGACCTTTGAAGTCCGACTTCAATTTTTTACTTTCACCAGGTTTAACGACGTCATCTTTAACGCGTACATATTCGCCTGCTTTGAACTTTTTTGGAGCCTTATGACTACGATCATAATAAGTTTTATTGTACTCTTTAATTTTGTCAGTCGCTTGAATCGCAAGCTTACGACTAGTATCTCGCTCGTTTACCCAAGGTAGTTCTTCGTTCTTTGAAGTTTCTGTTTTAGCTAATTCAGTCAAAAATTCAACAAGTTTACTGTCAGAATGATTTTTCATTTCGTAACCTAACAATAGCTTGGAAGGGGACGCTTTAGTTGACGCGTGAAACGTATTGTTAATTACGTATTGTATTGTAACGAGCTTGTTAGACCATTCTATAGGGTCTTCAACGACTTTCTTAAGTGATGCTTTTAAAAATCTGTTAACCCTTTCAACCATCCCATTCGCCCAGGGTGAGGCTACTGCTACTAAACGATGTTTGATTCCACGAGGACGCAGAAACTCTACAAATTCGGATGAAGAGAACGCAGTTCCGCGATCTGATACAATTTCATTGGGATTTCCATAATTATCAAATAGTAAAGAAAAATGTTTGACCACTTCACGCGTGGTAGTAGACTTCACCGGAAATAACCAAGTAAACCGGGTACATGAATCAATGAGTAGAAGTATATGTTTCATACCGTTTCGCGATTCGGGCAGAGGACCGAAATGATCAGTATGCATTATCTGAAAAGGGTGGTTTGCAGTAGGAGTAATCTGTAACTCGCCTTCTTTCGGAGTGTGAGATGCGCTGGCCATTAAACAAGTCACGCAATTCGAAACATAACTTTTGATTTTGCGACGCATCGCTGGGAACCAATAATGAACATGGATGCCCTGAAAAGTTTTATCCGTACCACAATGGGCGGATTCGTCGTGGTAAATGTATAATATTTTATGAATCATGCCTTCTGGCACTACAAATTTAACACCATCGGATTCTTTTTTATATACTAAACCATCAATAAGATCATAATCGTGATGAACACTTTTTTCCAATTGTTGAGCAATTATTTTAATATTTGGATCTGCTAATTGTCTAAACTGTAGCTCTTTTTCGAGAGGCATAATTTCTGTTGACGCGACTATCCTGCTCAAAGCGTCTACATGCGTCATTTTTTGTCCACTTCTATGTACTATTGAAAAAGTATAGTTTTGTAATCGTAAAATCCAACGAGCTACGCGCGGATTAATGCTAGCTTTATTCACTGCATGGACCAGTGAGTTACAATCGGTAACAACTTTAAAGGGTATACCGGCCAAATATATGTGAAACCGTTCGGTGGCCTTGACGATAGCCAACATCTCCAACTCAAAGGAGTGATATTTACTTTCGGCTTCATTGGTAGATTGGCTGTAATAAGCAACAGGGGCTAATGCTCCAGAATCCTGTTTTTGCAAGAGTATTGCAGCAAGTGCAATGGAGCTGGCGTCGGTATGCAACTCTGTATATAAGTGGGGTTGATAAGGTCTCAAAACCGGATATGTAAGCAAGTCTGATTTTAATTGTTCAAACGCTTCAACGCACTTATCATCAAATTTAAATTCTGAATTCTTTTTGAGAAGAGAATGTAATGGTTTAGCCTTAGTGGCAAGATCTTTAATAAAACGGCGGAAAAAATTGACTAAGCCTAAGAATCGCTGTAATTCAATAACACTTTTCGGAACGGGAAAACGTCTAATCGCTTCAACGTGACGTTCGCTTAACGTTATTCCTGTCGGAGATACTGTATATCCCAGGAATTCAATAGAATGTTTAAGAAACTGACTTTTCTCGAAATTAATTTCAAATTCATATTTCTTGAGTAATAACATAGTCTGCTTTAATACTATCAAATTATCTTCAACTGTTTCAGATGGAATGAGTATGTCGTCTATATAGACCAAGATTTTGTCCTCTCTGATCAGGGGCTGTAAAATATGATAGATTCTTTTTTGGAATTCGGCGGGGGACTCACAGTATCCAAAGGGTAACCGCAAGTACTCGTATTGGCCGTCTGGAGTAGCAAATGAAAAAAACTTGGTAGAATCTGGATGTATTTTGATTAGATGAAAACCATCCTTTAAGTCAATTAAAGTGAATACCTTAGCGTTGCCAAGTCTGGATAAAAGATCCTCAATTACTGGAAAAGGAAACTTTTGCTTAATGACTCGATCATTAAGGGGACGTAAATCTACACAAAGTCTTAGTTTTTTATTTTTCTTACGTATCGGTACGACTCTAGCGCAATAACAAGAGTTACTCGGTTTGATAATTGCTCTTTTAAGGAGATCATCAATAATTTCGCGTATTTCTAGTCGTTCTGTATGAGCAAATCTGCGAGGTGCATACGCAAAAATGGAGTCGTCCTTTAGCCTAACCTTAACACTATATTCATCGTTTATCGGAGCAACAGGAGTATTTTGTACTTCCTCAATAAGCTCGTTAATTTTCTGATCACCGTTAATACCAAAATCAGTGTCAAAAGCTATTTTCTTAATGTTAGTTTCTAAAAAATCGGCAGATGCGACTTCTTTAAATAACTGCAATTTATCTGATTCATTGGATGAATTAGGTTTATATAAAAGAGATAAATCATTGTTAGAGATGAAATCACGACCTAAAACAACGTGTGTTGACCATAAGTCGTTATCCACAATACGTAGTTGTACGTTAAAAATATTATGAGGCAGTATTGATAAACTGATATTCGCGTCTTGAATTGCAAGGACTTTAATATTGGTATCATTCAAAGTAATTAAATTATCAATAACTGGTTTATCGTAGCTAGAATTTTGTCCGAAGAACAACTTGTATACCGGACTTAACATGAATGAAACGGGGCTTCCGGTATCTATTAACGCAAACATGCTACACTTTGAACCGTTAATCGAACTTATCTCGACTATAGAGTTACTTGACTTTGATGTATGCACTGAGTTATCGAGAACACATCCCACTTGAGAGGGATTGTCCTTCTGCGTTACTGGAGCTGCGACGGATGCAGAGGCACTCGTCGACTCAGAGCTAGAAGATTGATTCTTCTTGCGAAGTTTAAAACAGTCTGCTTTTACATGGCCTATTGCCTTACAATAAACACAGGACACTGCACTATTATTCTTCGTTGATTGTGATGAAGATTCCGTTGTAGGAAGCACTGGCGTCTTGATACGCTCCTTTTTTGGCACTGGAGGTGGAGACTTCTTAACGTTGATGGCGCAGGAGGAGGTAATTTGTCCCATTTGCTCCAAAAAGTCGTCCATTGAATTGGTTCTTATAGCTGCTGCAGTGCTGCGTAGAGATAAACTATTGATGCCATTGATTATCAATTGTATGCGATCTCGATCTGGCAATTGTAAATTATTCATCAGCTTCATTTTTTGTAAAGCGTAGTCGTGGAATGACTCCTTTGGAAAATTCCATTTCCGTGATTCAACTTTTTGCATAAGTACATGGAAAGGCACGTACCTTTTAAAACGTTTAATGATAGCGTTTTTGAAAGAAAACCAAGAGTCGTTGATTTGCCCATCATCTAAGTCAAACCATTCTCTTGCATTTTTTGTGAGTTTGCTCGATGCGGCAAGAAGAGTAACACCATCTTGTACTCCATGTATTGAAGCAACTCTTTCAACTTTTCGAATCCAAACTTCGACGTCGTCGTCTTCCGTACCACTGAAGACAGAAATTTGATTAGCTAACAGCTTAACAGCCTGTGCAGGGGATGCACTAGCCAAAGGCGGAAAAACATTAATATGTCGATTATTGTCCATAGATGCTGCACCATCCATTGAATTTCGAACTGATGACGAAGAAATTATAATTGGCGATTGTTGATTCGTTGGCGCCACTGATGTTGACGGAGGGGCATTTCTCGTGCCTGACTCAGCGGAGGTGACCGCATTAGCAATCCTTTCGATTAATTGTTGCTGTCGTTGCATTTGTTGCATAATAAAGGTTACGGATTGTTGCATCTCTTCCATGGTAGTAGCAGAACGCACAGAAGAAACATTGTCGACACTTTGTGACGGTCGTGCGATTGTTTGAGAACCACTAGCCACTTCGTTTATAGCTCCGGATTCACAATCATAATAACGTTCATAGTAAGTTAAAAGTCTGTCTAAACAGTCTGTTCGAGACGCAGTGACAGGAAGCTTGAGCTTAATAAGTTCGTCTCTCAACTGCTCGTAAGATAATCCATCGAGGCGTTCGCGATCCATTCTGAATAACGATCGATAAAGTCAATGCGATAAATCGATAAACGCCGTGAATGCACGTAACTTTGTACACTCGTAAACCGAACAGTTACCAACCAATCAGAACTTGTGTTGGCAAAACACTAAGATGGCGACGTTGACACGCGCGCGCAAACGGAAACCGTTGAAGACGTTGAATACAACGTAATGGCGACTATCTGATACAATAGTCGTAAGGCAGCGGCAAATGCCGAGAATGCCGAAAAGCTTTACGTACACCAATTGATGCACTCACGAAAGGCGTAAACGAGAATCACTCGCTTTTGAACGCTTGTAAACGTGAATCGACAAGATGACGACACGTATCACGAACACTGTTACACAGCGGGAAAAAGGCTTTCAGCGTATTAAACCGAACTGAAAAACACTTGTAAACGTGAATCGACAAGTTGACGACACGTATGACGAACACTGTTACACAGCGGGAAAAAGGCTTTCAGCGTATTAAACCGAACTGAAAAACACTTGTAAACGTGAATCGACAAGTTGACGACACGTATGACGAACACTGTTACACAGCGGGAAAAAGGCTTTCAGCGTATTAACTGAACTGAAAAACACTTATAAACGTGAATCGACAAGTTGACGACACGTATGACGAACACTGTTACACAGCGGGAAAAAGGCTTTCAGCGTATTAAACCGAACTGAATAACCCGAGAGGTCACGAACCGACCGAAAACTATAGCAACCGTAATAATCACGGAGCGAAACTTGTACCGCTCGAATGCCGACGAACGCGACGTTCAGTACAAAGAAAACGTGTGTGGATACAAAGGACAAAGGATCCAAGATGGAATCCGAGAGGCAGGACGGTGAGAGGAATCCCACTTCTGAGACTGTAAGGTTTCGACAAGGTTAATCGAGGGGTAGAAATAGAAACGTAACCGGTTAAGGAAACGATGGAAAGATGTCAGGAATAGCTTGAAAGATCCAGGATGAAACACACGTTAGTTAAAAACACACTTTATTGCAGAGCGTCTAGGACGCGACTTCTTAACGTATTCTTGAACTTAGAATTACTGTCGACCAATCACAGGGTCTCTTCTCCATAGCACAGCGCCACGCTGTGGTAGGGAGTCTGGTAACGAGCGCATTGCCAACTTAAAAACTATGAGAAGCGAGTTGTCGCTTACAGAATTAATACTTTCTTACACATAACAATGTATGACAGTAAATTAAAAAATGTTAACCATTGAATAAATATGCATTAAACTTCTTTTATTAAAACATGTACATTGAGAGAAACTGTTTTAGTTGTGTCATTTTTATAAATATATTTAAAGATTGCAAATATATCATTAAAAATCATTGTTAAGGACTTTCTCCCATTGACAAAAGATATTGCTCCGCCATGTTCAAAATATGACGCAAAATCGTCCCGAATTCTGGAGACAAGTCGATTGTGGGCATTAGTAGATCTGCTAGCATTGTTCATTTCTTGCAATGCACTGTGAATCAAATCTTCGTTATTTGTAGTAATACGAGTGTATTGCCTTTGGAAATTATGCAACTTGTTTTCATTTTTTATTATAAAATTATGTAAACATGTAGTTGCTTGAACAATTTTTATTGCAGTGGAAATTGATGCAATTATCGGACGCCTATAGATTCGCCATCGTGCTACCATAATGCCAAATGCACTTTCGACCACTCTTCTTGCTCGACTTAAACGGTAATTAAATTTTTTTTTTTCTGACGATATAATCGACTACATCGAGGATATGGTCGCATCATATACGATTTCAAAGCGAATGCCTCATCTGCCACTAACACATATGGTAAAGGAGGTCCGTTAGGTTCTACTGCACTTGGTTGCGGCAAATTCATTTCATTTCTTTCTAATCGTTGACCAAACTTTGAATTCGCAAAGATACCGCCATCACTTTGTCTACCCTCAGCTCCAATGTCGACTAGTGTGAAGCAATAATAGGCATCCGAAACTGCTAACAAATTAATACTATGGGTCCCTTTGTAATTATAATATACTAATCCATTATGAGGTGGCGCCTAAAAGATAAATAGAAAAAAATTGTTATAGATTAATTATTCTAGCACTTTTCAATACAAATAAATAAGAAATATATTTCGGAAAAAATGTCACCTGAATTACAATGTGTTTTCCATCTATTGCACCTATACAATGCAGGAAATTCCATTTTCTCTCAAATTCACTCGCGATTCTCAACTAAGATTCTTTATTTGGTGCTGGCATAACAGATTTGTGAAGAGAAATCCACAATGCTTCGCATGTTTCAGAGATAATTTTTGAAACAGTGCTTACTCCAATTCTAAATGCATAGGATATTGAGGCCATACTGTCACCGGAAGCTAAGTAACGCAAACATACTAAAAGTCGTGTGCGAGCCGATATTGGATCTCAAACAACGTTTTGTTTCTCAATAAGAGGCTCAACAATACTCAGTAATTGATCACATATTTCTGTAGACATTCTACAATAATTATAAAACATTTCTTGGTCTTGCAGCTGCATTTCTATGGCTAGATTGTCACTATCTCCTTGCAAATGTCTTTGTAATTGTGTAAATATTGGACGAACCCACATCCTTTGGCTTCCTTCTCTTTTACGCTTCATTACAAGTTTCCATAGTGCAATGAATTCCAATATATTCCGTTTGCCAACTTTCCGATGTCGTAATGTTACTTTTTCTTACAAATAATCTTTTTTTGCAAATAATTACTGCTACAAGGTTGGAATTCATTATATTCAAGAAATTTTATGAATTCTTGGAAAACGAATTCTGTAATAAATTTACTAATAAATCAGAAATTGAATTAAAGAATTGCCAATATGAGCCGACACTAGTTGATCATGTGTGAAATATAATTATTTTATACTATGTATGTAGTCCCCCCCCCCGCGACGCTGATGGATTTTCAGCCTTGACGCATATATTCACTACCACAATAATATCACTTAGTTAAATTGTAAAATGCGCTTTAATAATAATATTAAGAACAATGTGAAGAATATCACTTCGTCGACTAGTCAACAGAGGTCTATAGTTACTCATGTCATTTTCTCGCAAGTGCTTGATTACATGTGTAATTGTTTATATAGAACTTCTTTCTAACATCTTCCCAGAGGCCCTATTCTGTAACTCGTTAAGCAGTTAACGACATCGTTGCGCAGCTTTTTATACCATAAGATATCTGCGCAACGATGTCGTTAACTGCCTTAACGAGTTACAGAATAGATTATTAAATTTTAATATATGTCTTTCAACATAATATTAAGATCTAATATGATGCTGTAGGCATCAAAAATTGGTTAAATTGATTCTCAATTTAACTAAGTGATATTACTGTGGTAGTGAATATATGCGTCAAGGCTGAAAATCCATCAGCGTCGCGGGGGGGACTACATACACAGTATAAAATAATTATATTTCACACATGATCAACTAGTGTCGGCTCATATTGGCAATTCTTTAATTCAATTTCTGATTTATTCTTCTGAGCCTCGAATTATCTCTTAATTTGTTTACTAATAAATACAAATAAAATGAAAAATTTATTTTATTAAAAAAAGGGGACTAGAAGAACGTATATGACAAAAATAATAAATAACCTTTCCTACCTTCACGCTCTTTATATAGTTGACACGGGGATATATAAATTGCGCTTTCACTGGCTTTCACATATTCTTACGTATAAAGTATGTACCTCATTCACATGACGCGTATTTAACAATACGCCTAAACAATAACAACCAATAAAGAAGTCGTATAGTATTTTTGCTCTATTGTACAAAAGAAACTTAGATCTGTCATTGGTTAGCTTTATAAAATTATTGGTTATGTTTTACGCGAATTTTACGAAATACGCGCCATGTGAATGGGGTACTTTTAAACTGGCGTAACTTCTAGTAAATTACTAGAATACGCAGGTTACGCTTACGCAAGGTACGCTGCATGTGAAGGCACCCTAAGGGTGCCGTCCCATGGCACAGATTTTCCGCGTAACGCATATCGCGTAACCAATCAGGGACCAGTACGCGTTTTTCGTGTCGTTACGCCTTTATTACGCGTTTTCGTTACGCGGAATTCAATTTTTATATGTGAACACAAGACCGCATGGCGCATATAAAATATTTCTAAATTAAAATGATTATCTAATAATGTAACCTAATAATTTAAACCTTTAATACTTTAAATGATATCATCTAATATAATATATTACCACGAAAAGTAACTGATATATTACTAAATGTGCCAGTTCAAAGTGAACATACATTATGTATATTTTCTATGTTGAATATGTATCACGAAAAGTAAATGATAGATTATTCAAGGTGCAAATTTAAAATGAACATACCTACATATAAGTAAAACAGATTACAATTAAAATATTACAGTTTTCTAGAAAATAACAGCAATAAACATACATAAAGTATATTTTCTATGTTGAATATGTATCACGAAAAGTAACTAATAGATCATTCAAGGTGCAAATTCAAAATGAACATACATACATATAAGTAAAACAGATTACAATTTGCATATTACAGTTTTCTAAAAAATTTCTGCAATATGTTATTCTTAGTGCATAAAATATAAAAGTCGGTTATTGAGATTTGATTTGAAATTTATTTAATTTATACTAGCCCGTGCAATGAAAAATAATTGCTTGTAATTCCAGAGTACCAATCTGTTAATGACTCGGAAAAAGAACATGGCGGCCTGCTCTCAAAAGACTTTCGATGGATGGAATTTATGATTGAAATAGAAGTTATGAAAATGTTTTAGATTAAAAGACTTTAATCTTTCTTTAGTCGAATTTCTAATTTTTGTTTAAACTTCCGGTTTTGAGTTAGTTGTATTATAGCATAGATAAGAAATTTATCAATTAACTCTGAAAAAGAAGTGACATCATTCTTACGGTGCAATAATACAAAATGTAATTGTGTTTGGAAGATTGATTTAAATATTCGCATTAATGACGGCAAGCCTCGATTGGTATTGTTGAGAATGAGATAAGTAAAAGGCATTACAACATAATTTTGTGTGTTCACATCGTGGTAGGAGGACGGGGAGTGGCGAGTGGAGGAGGTCCGGTGGGTCGAAGATGGTGGAGGTGCGAGTGAAAGGTGAGAGATGATGTTAAAAAGTTGTAATAACGAAAAAGTTTGAAATACCGCGAAAGAGAGGGTGGCGGTAGTGGATGGTGGGAGGAGGAGGAGGGGCGAATGGAGGAGGTCCGATGGGCCGAAGATGGTGGAGGTGCGAGTGAAAGATGAGAGAGGATGTTAAAAAATTGAAATAACAAAAGAGTGTGAAATATAGCGAAAGAGAGGGTTGGCGGGAGTGGATGGTGGGGCGAGTGGAGGAGGTCCGGTGGGTCAAAGATGGTGGAGGTGCAAATAAAAAGTGAGTGAGAATGTTGAAAAGTTTAAATGGCGGTTCGAAAAATTTTGAAAGCGGACAGAGAAGAAGAAAAAGAAGAAGGAGACGTTTTTTAATTTTTCATTAAAATCACCACTTTTCGACCGCTTATATCTCCAGAACGGCTTGACCGATTAAAAATTTTTTTGTCTCAAATTACTCGTGGTGATACCGCCTTTCAGGGCATATAACGTTTGATTGAAAATTTTTTATATTTTAGTAGTTATGCACCTCCCAAAAATGGACTTTGGTGGCTCGGGATAAGAAACTTGTAGCGTCTCTCGGTTTTTGAACATGGCTGGAGACGCTACCGCGTCTCTTGATATGACAGAGAAGATTTTGTCGATTTTGTATTCATCATGGATAAATCAGTAAGCAAATTAATTAGTTTTATTTAATACATTCCATTATCAACTCGGTTTAAATGCAGTATTAAAATTTAATTTTTGATCTTATTAATGAAGTATTTATAAATTAATTTATTAGAAATTATTTTTTCAAGTTATAAGATTGAATTAGAGAGGTTAAGGGGATCCTAAAGCAGGTCTGTATTACCGACAAAATCGTATAATTTTTGTATCGTAAATACTTTTTTTGTTATTCACAGATTCAAAAATCCTTTTACAGAATTAAAGTATACGCATTAATACATATCTGTGAGGTAGAATCTATGCTGAAAACAATAAAAAATTTCAAAATTGAGTTCTTCTTTACCATTTTTTAGTCCAATATGGCGCTTCAGAGCTATCACGTCGTTGCACGTCGTAACAACATTTTTTTTATATAAAAGCTGCGCAATCTATACTTAAGAAATAGTAGTCCACAGATACGTAGTTTGCATGAAGAAACAGCGTGGAGTTCTTAGAATTAGACTTACAATTAGACACTTTATCGCGACGAATTTACGATACGAAAATTGACAGATAATGCGACTGCGTGCATATCACTGTCTGCGTGAGATATTAGTGTGGTAGTATATAAAAGATATGTCGATGTGTTGTAAAACAACAACATCTGGCGATTTTGTTAGAGTTCGAGCTTTGCTTAAGGATCCCCTTAAGTAATAGATTTATAATAATGGTAGTAACTTTTTAAAGTATGGATTTTTTCCTTCAGGTTTTTAATTTTTTCTAAATATTTAAATAAAACAATGTAACTGTAAAGAGGAATTATATTGCTTATTAGAGGAAGGTCAGCGATACCGACATACTACTTTGTTTTTAGACTATATTTTTTAGACAAAAGCAAAAAATAAATCTTTGGAGATATAAATGTAAACTGGAAAGTGTCTTCTATCGATGCTCTATAGCAATTTTTATAATACTGTTAAGAATTTTGCAATAATTAACCTTTTTATCGAATAAGCGAAAACGAGCGTCAGACAAAATGGGCCCCAAAACTGACATATGCGCATATGGCCACAGAGCATGCGCATGTGACCGCAGTGTGCAGGTTATGTTACGATGCGCGATATGTCGTGATGGGACACGTGACGACATGCCGGTTTAGGCTATAAACGATTTTATTTTTAAAACCGTATTATAAGAAAAATAAGAAACAGGAAAATATAAATAAAATAGTTTTAGAAAACTACAAACATATAAAAGGACTTAATATTATCACTAATATAGCTACTATTACATAAACTACATAATTTATAAAATAACATCATAAGAATTTTGTTTTCACATTTGTAGAATTCGTTTTTAGCTGATTTTGTATAGAAACAAGCCACATCTATATGAATTATGGGTTTTTTCTTCTTTAATTACCTAAACAGATTATGTTTTCATTAGTATTAATGAAGTGGAAAGATTAGTTTACGAGAAATAAGGGGGTGTCACTTTAGGAGACCTATGTCAGTATCGGTGACTTTCCTCTATTAATTTTAAATGATTTATTAATATTTCCAGCAAATTCGATATGGATATTGGCATATCATTGTCAAAATATATTATAAAACATAATTGTTTTAAAAAATATGATGAAACTAAACATTTTCTACACATTGATGAGAATTTTGTAGCTACTATTGGTATGTAAATATTTATTATATTTATAATATGTATTATATGTACATACATTATACGTTATTATCAAACCTTCCATTGCAGCACAAAAATCAGCTGATTATAATAATGCAGATACAGAACCATGGTCG